TAGAGAAATTTGTACCATTAGCATACCGTGTCTCGATTCCTTCGTTTTTATGGTGAAATTCTATAGCGGTGAGAAAGAGAGAAAGATTTTTGTTTTCATTTTTGATTACGCGCGCATCATGAAAGGAAAAATTGATCGAGTAATTCTATTCGGTTTTTCTTTTAATTTATAAAAAAAGCAGTATTTTTGATATTATTGGAACGAAAATTTTAGGTTATATTCAAGATCGAATAAAATTTTATTAATTGGTTTATTTCAATCCCTTTCAGGGGTGAATTAAAATTATTATCAAAAGAATGATAGTTTTTTAATTATTCAAATTTATTTATTTGTAGACCAATAATTATGTTTTTTCATTAGAAATGTGAACTTTGTATCCATGAATTTAATTTATTCATTAAATTATAGAATTTTAACGAGAGGATATTTTATGATATTTTATATTCGAAGAAGGAAACTTGTTACTCCATTTTAAATCATGTTTATGAAAAATTTGATTAATAGTTGAGAAACTTTGTTCCCGAATTATTTTTGGATTATTCGAGTAAAGATCGGAATAACGTCGAGAGATTTAAACGTATTTTTAACAAATTCAAAAATTTTAAAAATTTTAGATAGAAACGACATTCGACGCGTACACGATGCACACATTTTATTCTATATATATAATTCTAACTTTCGTGAAAGTATTCCACCCCCTTTAAAATATTATCGACTCATTGAGACCATTATCATATCATTATCGAATCATATGAGACCATTATTATCACTTCACATTTACTAGAGAAAGGAGGTTGGAAGAAGCAGGCGAGAGAACGAACGAAGGAGAGGTCTACGTGTCTCGAGCGCCGAAAGAAAAGAAAAAGAAAAAAGGCGAAGGTAAAACGCGACCGGATGGTGAGCCAACAATCACGATCGAGGATTCATCAGTGTTTTAGGAGGTCAATGTCGCTCGACGGCCGCCGCCGACTTGGATCTTCTTAAACATGCAGACCGCATACGAAACCCGGTGTATATAATCCAAGCTGGTCGACTTCGGAAATCAGTCGACCCGACAACTCAACCGTGTAACTTATCGGTACAACAATGAAGGTACGAAGCGATACGATCCGAAACAAACGAGAATAGCTTACGAAAATCAAAAATTAAATTTCTTTACACACTTTTCCTTTAATTTCTATCTAATTTTCCAAGATGAAAAAAATAACGAAGCGAGAAACAATAAGAACAATTTTTCAAATTTCAATTTTACTAATAAAATCGATCACATTATTCATCGCTTTTCGAATCCAAAGAATTAAATTCCACTAAAACGTTCCAACAAATATACAAAGTATAAATTCGAATATTTTACTTTTAATACTTTTAATACTACTTTTAATACTTTTATCAGGCGATAATTCACTCATCCAACGTTTCATTTCCAAAAAAAAAAAAAATAAAAAAACAGGGATTCATCGCTTTCGCTCTCTTGGTCGCTGCGGTCGCCGCAGAGCCACCAAGATACCGCCCCCAAAGACAATTCTTCTTCGCTAGACAACAGGAGGAGCCCACCACCACGGTTTCCAACGCCCCCTACGCGCCTTCCGGATGGAGACCGAGTGGACCGGCTTTCAATCTACCTCAGAGGCAATACGGCGCATCTAACGCCCCTCAGCAACAGTACGGCGCACCTAACGCCCCTCAGCAACAATATGGCGCACCTAACGCTCCTCAGCAACAGTACGGCGCACCTAACGCCCCTCAGCAACAGTACGGCGCACCTAACGCTCCTCAGCAACAGTACGGCGCACCTAACGCTCCTCAGCAACAGTATGGCGCACCTAACGCTCCTCAGCAACAATATGGCGCACCAGCGGTTCCTCAGGAGCAGTATGGGCCGCCGCAGGAAGCTACCACTACCGAGGCGCCTAACAGCACGGAGGCGGAGGATGCTACCACTGTCGCAAGTGTCGAGTCTGAGGTAAGAGAAAGAATGTTGAGAAGAAGAGGAGGAAGAATAAGTTTTCTTTTGTTTAATATAAAATATAAATTCGGCCGCAGTGGAGACACGCTTTCTTCGGATCGAATTTAAAGAGAGGAAAAATTCGAGAGGGGAAATGGGATAAGTTGGGATTTCGTGGATCGGTTGTTGAAACATCGCACTTGTTATCGTGTTATTTGTTATAAGGGAGGATGGAGAAAAAGAGAGAGAGAGAGAGAGAGAGTGTGGTCTG